CCAACACCACCTCCAAAAGCCCAAGTATTCAGCCCTAAGAGGTGTGGGACATGAGACGAACTCTGCCGTAAGCATACAGCTGGGTGCTGTGCTGGGAATTCAAAACTCCAAACTGCAGAATATCAAGCCTAGTTTCTATCAGGGTCAACCAAATGCATGTCTTCATATCTAGTTGAGCATATCTGGTCCTGCAGTGGAAGGCACTGCTGACCTTAACTGGGAGGAAAGCTAAGCAAACAGCATATCTGATGTTTTGTTTCACTTCTAGCAATCACATTTAAGATCATTAAGTTCAGGGTTGGAGCTTGACAGTAAGCAAAAAACTTTAATGTGCTGTGGTTTGGAGGTATAAGTCACGTCTCAGTTTTGCATCCCGGACGAGCCCCCGATTTGTGCCTCAGGTAAGAAATAACCAGTAGTGAGTTAATAGTGAGTCACGACCCAAATAATGGGTCGCATGTCTGAAAGAGAACAACTAGACATACAATTAATCACAAAACGGTTTATAAATAAATATAGGCTAATCAGCTTTAAAACAGGGAAGAAAATTATTCCCATATCTTGTTGTTGAGTTGCTGAGACTGTGCGTCCAATCAAACTCTATGGTATTGTTGCACAATATTATCTGTCACTTGGTTAAAAAATGACAAATATTTGGCCAATTGTTTGACCCATTTGCTAGACTGGTTAATCACCCTTCTGCTGTCATTCATGCATTTTGAAAATTGCCAATTTTCTTATTCAGTTAATACATTTTCCATCTTGTTGGGCCTATGCAGATCGCAGTAATATCGATGTAAGGGCTCGACAATAAGGACTGCACTGTCACGAAAGATTAACATTTGTATGCGTTTTAAAATCTTGCCAATTTAAAAACTCAAGCGCAACAGAGTAATAAATGTGGTACTCACACGCTGTCTGATAGACCGTTTTCACCATTGATACTTTAATAAGGATTAATCTATACAGTGAAGATTATGCAGTGTTATTTTAATTTAATTTTTGCATTTAGCAGATGCTTTTATCCAAAGCGACTTACAGTGCATTCAGGCTATACATTTTTTACCAGTATGTGTATTCCCTGGGAATCGAACCCACAACCTTTTGCACTGCAAACGCAATGCTCTACCACTGAGCCGGAAGAACTTTCAGCACTGCTTATTTCCTAGCACTTATTTGTGCTGTTGTTCGCAGTTTGACTGTTTACTTTATATTAGTTAGACTAGTAGCTTTTGCAGTGGTATCAAAATTGGAAATTAGAATTTTGAAAATTCACTTGTATCTAAAATATTGGTGTTACATGGTCAAAAACAATGACTTTTTGTGGTTGTTGAGGTCCTTACTTGTTTAGCCCTAAAATATTTCAATGTTTGATTTTAAGGGCACTTTTGCACACTTAACTATTTTAGCTGAAACCAAACCAGTTGAGAATCACAGACACAACTGATGAGATTTAAAAAGAGCTGGCTCAGGTTTTTTATCTTTATAAACACCACCATCACTCAGAACGTGTCGTCAATGCCGCGGGTCTCAGTCAAGCATCAGGATTACTTCACATTTGCGCTTCATCCTACACACATTCTTCCCGAGGAGCGCTGAACTGCCCAAACCTGTGCACAGCGGAGTCACACCCACATCAGAGACGCCAACAACTGATAGACCGTCTATAGCCTGTGCCAGGAGCTCTGAAACAGCCAATTGTTCTCCACCTCAACCTCCAGCAGCAATAAGGAGGAGACATATCGGGGCACGGCAGGCTCACATTATGATCCTGAATATGCCTCCATGCTAACCCAGGAAACATGAACTTTGGAGTTATTTCTGCATTACAGCTAGGAAAGCTGTTGCCATAATACTATTTGCAAGGTTTTAGAAAGGCACCAAGTTTCGCAGTGCTGAGAAAGGACAGTCTATATAGATCTATAATATAAATCGTCGTGCTGAATGCTGGAAGTGGAAATAAATGTCATTAATTTGAGCAAATTTGCTGTAAAACAAGTCCATAAAAGAGGATTAGTAACACTTCACTGTCTCGTTTGACAGGTGACCACCATAAACACTGAACTGTAGAGGGAAACACCCTTTTGAAGGTATTCAGATGTGGAATATCACATCTCATCAATGTCTGGGGACAGACGATGCCACAAGACACGTGACAGACATTATCGCTAACCCTTCAAATGACGATGTGGGTTTGACGCAGGAATGTAAAGCTGTCGCCAGGTTGCATACCAGATACGCTGGAAAGTACTGCGCTTTCTAGTACAATGTGCTCAGCGCCACGAGACAGGCAGCACTTGAGAAGATTTTGAAATATAATATTACCTCAGTCTATCGGTATTGCCTGCCAAAGACCAGTGAACACATCGGAGCAATGCAGAAAAACCTACCATCAAAGTATGTTTTAGTCAGTACCTGTTAGTTTTAATCAAAGGAATGGTTCACCAAAAGTCCACCAGACAGTTTGCTGAAAATGTGCTCGACCTCAGGACATCCAAAATGTAGATGCGTTTGTTAATGCATCAGATTTGGAGAAATGTAGCATTGCATCACTTGCTCACCAATGGATCCTGTGCAGTGAATGGCCTGAGGTGAACACATTTTCAGAAAAAAAAATCATTTTTGGGTGAACTATTCCTTTTTGTATTCCTTCAACTATTCCCCTAATAATACCACATGCAACCACCTACCACTCATGGCTGTTATGTGAACAAAAGCCTTCTGGTTCATTCATAGGGTCTTCACAAAACCAAGATGAAGAGCTCCACTTTTAGTCTACTTTTATAGCATCTCTTTTACAGACAAAAGTTTATAGGAAAGGCTTTGCTGGGACCACAAAGCCAAATCAAGAACCATTGTGAAAAACCATCGCTGATGGCGTTCCTTACTTTGGAACACGGCATTATTTGAATACTCTAATTCAATGGTGTTGTAAGAATAAGAATTGCTCGAATCAACTGCAAGCTCTATCTTTTTTGTTGTTGCAAAACAAGCCTTGGCCATTTGACACCTCCACAGATGTCACTCTCTCTGCAGGTGCAGGCTAGGATCCTCGCTGGAAGGGTTTACAGGTCAAAAACTAGCACAACCATTAATGTGACATTCTCATACGATCATCCCTGGTGAACGTCCTTATTCGATCACCTTGGATGGGTACGCTAATTACAATGGGGATGAAGACATGAAGCAGAATCAGGCATGCGATCAGTTCATGCTTGCACTGAATGGCATTATTGCGTCAGTGTTTCTGTGAGGTCTATACAGTCAGAACATGTTTTAAAGGCGCGTAGAGTCACATCCATCCAGGAAGCAGACGTCAGCACCTTGACAGACCTCAACCGCTTTTATTAATAGCTCAGTCAGACCATGCAATTGTTTGCCAACAATTTGTATGACACACGCCGGTAAGTAAATTTGACTTCAAGTTAGTCACCAATCAGGTTTAATGTCAGGAACAGGGAGAGTGGAGTTTAGTCAGATACAAATTTGTCTGGCCAACTGGTGCAAATAATTCTGGCAGATCATCATAAAGATCTAATGATTAACAGGGATAAATCTAACTAGAGCTGCTGTGCATCATTTTGTGTTTGCCCATGCATCTAGTAGGTACTAGTACTTGTTCTATACTTCCAAATAACTATTCAAACAGTTGCTAGCATCTATTCCAGTTTTCAAAGTAGGCACTAGTTGCAATTTATTATTCACCACTAGTATGTGTTCCAGTTGTTACTAGTAACATTAATCTTAGTATAATCAAAGTAGCAACTATAAGTAGTCACTAGACACGATTAAAAATAAAGCAATGGTAGAATTTTATATTAGGTGTATTTAACTAGAGTCAAGTGGTGGAGTACGGGTAAGTTAGGGACAGGTTTCATGGTATGGTATGGGTTTAAAGGATTTGACAGAAATTACTATACAAATTACGTATTTGCATGCATGTTTTTACGTTTTACATGCATTTTTAAAAAACTGCATGTAAACAATAAATGCATTGTTGTAAATATTAGTCCATAGAATTTAAAGACACTTAATATAAAATCCAAAGCAATTGCAACTAGCAAAATAACAATGCAATAATAACTGGGATAGATGATACTTGTTTATTTACCAAGTGAGACACAAGTACAAGTAAAACTATTGAAATATTAGTTACTAATAACCAAAAAAAACATGTATGTACTAGTCTCTAATGAATAGTTATAAGAGAAACTGAAAAGATAGCACAGGTACGTCTGTTAAAGATCGCTTCATCTGCTGTGTACAAACATCTGATAGACGTCTGCAAGATGTCAGTTTTACATACACTCTAAATCATAAACATCTTAAAAACATCTTCTAAACGTCTATTTGACATCTAATAGGACACGTCCTATATTGCAGATGAGCAAACACTCTAAAAAACACGCTTTGGAGACGTCAAATAGATAGTGCTATCACGGTACTCTAAATCATAAACATCTTAAAAACATCTTCTAAACGTCTATTTGACATCTAATAGGAAACGTCCTATATTGCAGATGAGCAAACACTAAAAAACACGCTTTGGAGACGTCAAATAGATAGTGCTATCACGGTATTGAACGATTGAACGATAGTTACAAATACTAGTAGCAACTAAACGCTACTTTATAATGTTAGCGTATATATATAACAGATGCTAGTTTTAAAAGATGCAATGTTAAAACGGACTGCCTGAATCACAGATGATGATGATGATGATGATGGCACGCGATCAGTTCAAACGCGCGTGCAGCGGTGACAGGATTGCGTCACAGTTACTGTAAATGCTACATATTAGATCGCATGTAAAAGCACCAGACAGCCCGCGGATGGAGGTATATTTCTATACGTCCGAAGCGCAAGCCCTTGATGAGGAGCTCGGCTGGAGCAGGGCATTTTTGCCGACAATTTGCACGACAAATTTGACTCGGTGCGTCAAGTTAGTCGCCGTACAGGAGCATCGGTCAATTAGGACAATGATCTCGAAACGTACTTACCCCATTAACCACTCCATGATGACTGAAGGAGATAAATCCGAGCAGAGCTGCCGTCCCCCCTCTATTTATCCGGGTAGCCCGAGCTATCAGTCTGGATCGGCTTTCGGCTGTGTTTAATCTCCGGCGCTTGTGTTTGGCGAACGAAAGCGCGTTAGTGATCGGCGCATGAGAGGTGGGTGAGCTCCAGCGCTCCGATCAAGGACCGCATTGACTTTGACGTTTGGCGAAGGGTGGCAGAAGGATACTTTCTGTCTTGAATGGTCGTCTAAAGCTGCGCTAATCTCTCTGCGGCTGTGCCGGAGTATGGCGGCTCTCCGGTCACCAAAGCATCGCGCTTCACCGGAGACGGTCTCGGATCGGGGCGCGGGGCTCTTGCGGAGCTTGTGGGGCAAGTGGAGAGGCTGTTTTCAAGCTCTGCCATATACAGGAAATCCGGAAGTAAACACAGGTTCGATGCCGACCCCCTCTCTCCCGGGATGTGGTCGGTTCACCGAGGCATGCTGGGATATGTAGTTTCCGGGGAAATCTGAAGACTACACGCAGACGTGACGGAGTGCGTCAGTGCGCGCACTCTCTCTGTCTCCTGGAATTCGTTGTTAACCTTTTTATTTTAACGGCAAAATTGTATATGCATAAAGATACATGTGTAAATTCATCCCCTGTGATTTAAGCTGTTTTCTATTGAATTTGACTGCTATGTGTCTTTACTAAGATTGTTAAAAAATAAAAATCATAAATTTAAAAAATAATAATAATTTTACATGTCCCTGCTACATTGTAATCTCAATATATGTTTAACATTACATTGTGCTATGCTTAATAAAAATAATAAATAATAATACAACAAAAATGCAATTAAATAAAAAAAAAAACTCTTTCTATCTGCTTCGGCAGTTTTTTTTTTTTGAAAATATTAACTGTCTGGACAATAACAAACTGATATCTACTTCATAAGTAATAAAGTTAGAGAGTTATCCTTTAAAATATCAAACAAAATCTACCGTTAAACATTTTTAAAAAACTATTTAATTTGGATATTATATAAAGCCTCACGTAATACAAGTTTTTAATGATGAAAATAATATTAAATCATTTTATTTATTACAATTTCACAGTTAAGTAATCATATGAGTGATTTTCTAAATAATTTCATTAATTTGTTTGTGTTTGGTCCCCAGATGCTATACACAATTTTTAGTTTATTTATAATAATAATAATAATAATAATAATAATTGTTGGTCACTGGGCTGTTTCTAAGTTGAAATGACACAACTTGGTATGATATTACAATATTAAACTGAATGTCGAGATTACTCCCTCGTGTAAGTCAGCTTTCAAATCCCTCTGCAACTGCATTTATTTCCTGTTTTTAATGAATACCATTTAAGTGCCTGAAATAACTTTTCTTTGTTTTAAGTGTGGCATTTTAATTCTTCATTCAAAAAGTTAAATTCATTTTATAATTACAGAATGCAAAATGTAACAAACTGAACAGCAGGGATGATTTTTAAGTGCTTCTGTGCTTTCCTGAGTATGCACTGCTATTAGTACACATTGCACACTGTAAAAAAGAGACTAACACTCAGGTCACAGTTAGACATGATGCTGTTTCCTGCACAGTATTTGCTCAAATCCACCAGAGGGCATCATTTATCGTCAAAAGAAACTCTTCTTCTGCTTTCTTCCTGAAAGTTTGTTCAGTTGCCTCACTGTTTGTACAACACAATAAGACTACAGAATATGAGAGACTTAAAACTAAAGTCTGCTGAGTTCTAGCTCCTGGAGACACTTTCCGAACACTCGCAACGCATGACTCAGTAACAAATTTGATCTCTTTTGTGGACATTTAGGTGACTAGCATATAGATCCCACCAGAGCTGGACTAAACGCCACAAAACACCCATTTTGATAGGAATGCATGATATTTCTCCATAACACTGGATTCATAACAGTGAGTGAGACTGTGGACGGAAGCTGCTGTGAAGGTTCCTCCGGGTTTGATGACGCTGCGCTCATGGAGCCGGATCGGTGCACACAGGCCACAAAAACACCCTGTTTGGAAGTGCATGGCTGAATATAACACCTGCAGGACAGACAAGGTCGTTCCGGGGAGCCGTCTGAGCTCAGATCGATGGAGAAACATCTGAGCCAGCATCTGAGACCGCCGGTGTTCGGTCCAGCTCATTCAGAGGAGCTCATGACCGCACCGCGTCTCTGCTTCTGTCGTTCAGAGACACTCACACACGCTCTAGTCCCAAAACCTGATGCTTTATTGTTTTTGTTTAGTCAAGGTCACATTAAAATGTCTTGGAGATGGTTTGCCATTGACCTCATTATTTATTTATTTATTGTTATTTAAATGCATTACACATAGACTACACTCTCAGAAAAAAAGGTACAAAAGTTGTCACTGGGGCGGTACCTTTTCAAACCTACATAAAGAGTCCATGTTGGTACATTAAAGGTTCATATTAGTATCCGAAGTGTACATCTTAGTACCTAAAAGGTACAAAAGTGTACCTTTTGAAAAGGTCCCGCCCCAGTGACGGCTTTTGTACCTTTTTTTCTGAGAGATTTTACTGTTGTACCCCTGTCACAGACGCAGACTTTCAATCTTTACAAACATTATGAAAAATTCAGAAAATCCTATTTGAAATTTAAATGATACACTATTGCAATATTCATATATGGTGAAAATAACAGTTTTGAACAAAAGGGCAGACTATTTTCTCTTTGCTAATACATAAATGCTGCATTTTTGTATATTATATATCAGTATATACATAAATATGTTTAAAACTTTAAGACAAAATATTATGAAATACAGTAAAAATACCCTGTTGACCTGAACGAGTGCACTAAATTTCGAGAAAATCTCTAAAAACTGTTGGTCGTAACAAAAAAAATAAAAATAATTTAATTTAATTTTTATTTAATTTCATTTAATTTTATTTTATTTTATTTTATTTTAATTTTATTTAATTTAATTTAATTTTAATTTAATTTAATTTAATTTAATTTAATTTAATTTAATTTAATTTA